CAAAAATTTTTTGTACATTTACTTCTTTCCTTATTATATTTCAAAACAAAATTTTCAAGTTTATTCACATTCTCATGTTGATTCAAAATAAATGAAATAAATTGGAGCAAACATATGAAAAATATTTTTATTAGCATCATCATCACCATTATCTTCTTGTTCTTGTTCTTGTTCTTCTTCTTCTTCTTCTTCTCCTTTCTAATTAATTTATCATGATTTATAGAGAGGATCATATTATGTTGTTTGGTTAATTAAAAAAAAGCACTCTGATTTCATGACTAATTTTCTCACTATTCAACTGATTAAACATGACTTTGGAATGATCTATAGAATTACAAACAGATATAGATGATGTCATGTTTTTGCTTAATCAAATTATGCATTTAATATTTACAACATCTGGTCCAAAACAAAACAAAGTGTCCAACTTGTCTCTTAACAATGTTTTCAGATCATTTTCTCAGATGATGACTAGAAAGAAGGAGAAGAGAGAGCCAGAGTGAAAGAGTATATTTACTCTTTGTAAAATTGAATGTGTTTTCATTGAAACTAGTTTACTAGTATTTTTTAAACTAAACCCTGAATTGATTGGTAAATGAAATGAAATAAGACCAATGAGATAAATTTTAAAAAATTTCAAGCATGTTTGTTTTAATCATCAGAATCATTAGCTGTTGAAATAATTTTAATTATAGTGATGATTATTACATAAGGCAGCTTAGTAGAAACCATTCCATAAAAAAATTAGCATTAGAGAGAAGTATGGGTGAAAATATAAAATTGTATTAACAAAAATCATACACCAATTTTAATTGTTTAAATAATTTAATGTTTAATTATTCCGATTAGATTTCTTTTACTATTTCAACAGGAATTAAGAGAGATTAAAAATAAATCTAGAAAAAATAGACCGCATAATCTTAACCCATCATGTTCTTCTTTTAATTTAGGGGTAAATTTTGTTGATAAACTATTAAACAATGAAAATATAGATAGAGTTTAACAGAAAAATCAGTGAAGAAATGAGGTAAGATCAGATGCTCATTATAGGTGTAAAATACTTCTAAAGTAAAATCTGCAAGTGTTTAATATAGTCAATCATTTTTTATTTAGTTTTGGTAAGGAATTTATTTTATTTTAATTTTAAATTTAAAAATTGCTTAAAAATTTGACTTTGACCTGGTAGCCATCTTTTTCTTTTTACAATTATTTTTTGTTGTTGCTGTAATCATTGTGTTTGATTTCAAAACTAAGTGATTTTTCTATGGCTATTTCACCAAAGACTTTTATATTCTCAAAATACAGATTTATAAAAAATAGGTTGTTTACTTTATCTTTATTAGGCCATTGTGTCATGTTCACTTTCTAATAGTTTGAATGCTTTTTATGAATTTTTTCTTTAGGCAATGGCAAATGTATGAATAGGGAATATTTGGAAGAAACTTCACAATGAAGTGCTCACTCTGCTTTCATCATTTCAATTAGCATAAAAAATGCATTTCAAGTAATATTTACATTTATTATTATATCATTCATATTTATTTCTAGATATTTGCAGTGTCAGATATATATTTATGTTCCACCTGCACTGATATCTCCAAGAAGTTTTACCTTGTCTGGTTAAATAGAATTGTCTGCTCCAGACCTACTATTGTGAAAGATAGCTCTTTTACTGGAGAAAAAAAGAGAATTAATGATATTGTAATCTCAGGGTCAAATCTCTGTTCATCACCAATTGAATTTTGGAGATTCCTCAATTATTTTTCAAAATACAAAATTTGCTCAAAGTCATCAATTAAGAGTCAATGACCTAGGTAAGTTTTTCAATTAGCCTTTCTTCATATACTATACCTTCTCATTAACAAAGAATTCAATTTTGAATAGAAGAGAGAATGATTGCTGTTCTAAAAGGGACAGATTGCATAAGTGAATATCCTGATACCCTATTGGATAGACAATTGTCCATTTGCATGGAAATGTCAACAAAATTGATTGTAGTTAAAAGCAGTGGATTCTCTTCTCTCACTTTCTCTTACAAGGATATTTTTCCAGATGTTCTATTAAAATTTAATAAAAATATAAATAATTTTGTGACTGTTGGTGTTGTCTATGAAATTTTTAATGACAAAATGGGATCATGTACACTTACATCATCCAACTTTGGTGATAATCAATTTCACAGATTTCTCTTCATTCCGTCCAGAAGATTACAAAGCAATATCAAAATTTTACTATTCTATCACTATTTTCAGGATATTTTTTAGTAGAATTGAATTCTATAACTTTAGAAAGACCTTTATTTCGCAGGAAATAGATTCTTTGACCATAACAGATGGTGCCACTATGGAATTAACAAAGGAACAAAGACTATAGAAAAATGTCAAACTTGTTTTATCTTATTCAAAAACAGATGCGGAAGAGGCAGGCTTCTTTTGGTAGTGCCACATATTAACCATGTGTGATATAATAGTTTTTCATGTTTTTGTTATACATGCATTATGAGACTGTTACATTTCAGCTTTGTAATCCTTTGACCAAGTGAACCCAAGCTTTGGGAAATGTATAAAACTAAATACAATTCCCCAGCTCGGCTGTTCAGTTCTCAAATCATTAGTTGGTTATTTAAACTTACTCTTTTAAAACTAGAAACTCATTTGCTCAATGCATATTATTTGCATGAAATAGGGGTGTTTTGTTGCTTGATTTCTGCTGAAATTACATTTGTTGAGACTAGTTCTGGATGAACAGGAAAGTTTCTATTTGTTTGAGTACTTTGATAAGTTGATAAATGATTGGAAAGGGTGAATTGTTTCTGAAGAAGCAAGAATTCCTACAATTACAATAGCGCAAAGTACAAGAATTATCTTTACAGTCTGAAACAAAGTTGCAGAGTGCTCAATGACTCTAAAGAACTCCAAATTTATTTTTAGTAAACACTGATGTTTTATTGCAATTATTATCCATTTTTTGTAAATTGTGAAATGTAAAAGAAAACATTTTTGACAAAATTGAGTAGATATGTTGGTAAAAGGGATAAGTATATTTGAAAGTTTGAGCAAACTCCTGTCATTTCTTAATATAAATATTTGATAGCAAATACCATTGATTTGAAGAGTTTTATTGCGATAGCATTCTTCTGTTACAGATATCTTTTCAATGCAGTCATTTTCAATTGTATCAATTTCCTTTAGATTACTATCATGTTCTCATTTTTAGTAGGATTCTTCTACTTTTTTTCTTCTTTAATTTTCATTGTGCTTATTTGATAATTTGAATGTTCATCTATAAAACATTTTACCTTATGAGTTTTACAATACATTAATGCCTCTTTTCCATGATTTTTACATAATTTATCATAAGATAACAGTCTTTTAAAGTAATTTTTAAAACTGTTTTTTGGAATTAAACATATATTTCCTTGTTATACTGTCATTTTGTGTTGACAATGAGGACAGGCTATTTTACATTCTTTAATAATACATGTCACCAGGTGTAATTATTTGACCTTTGGAACAAGAGAGATTTTTCATTTGGAAATCAAATAATAATGATATTTCCTTCCTAGCAACTGTGTGACCTTTTATCCAAAAGCAAAGTTTAGCATCTGTATAGTACATTTAAGCAAAAAAGACACACATTGACCGCCAACCCAATTCTAACAATGTCAGTAGTTTTTTTGAGTGTTTAAATTGATGATTCATGGAAACATATAAAGTGCCATATGCAATTCAATAATCAATATCATCCTTTGTTTTGGATTTTTGTTACATAATCGAGAAATGGAAAAGCAATGGGTAATTCATATTGACTACACTGTTGAAATAAATCAATGAAAGTTGTCCAAAATTTGAAAAATCAAAAAATCAAAAAATATGGAAACAAGATATTACTTCCTCCTTCTCTAAAGATTTCATTTTAATAAAGGGAATACAGTGAAAATTTTGTGTATTATTTATTAATATAGTTTTAAAGCTGTGGAATATTTGTTTTTACTTGAATTTAAATTTTAAAACTTAAGGACTGATATTACAAATTCCAATATCAGAGGTTATCATATCATTGACAAGAATTAAATAATAAAATTTTGTTATTAAATAACTGTCCTTATAGCAGGTGAAAATATATCTGTGATATGAATTGTCACCAAAACTTGATGACTTTAATGTACAGGATTCAATAGTTTCTTCTTCATTTAAATTCTCATAAAATACATTCACTTTAATGAATTTTGTAATATTTTTTTCAAATTTTAAAGTCACTTCCGGTAAGATAGTTTTAGAATAGAATTTCATGTCATTTTGTCTGCGACTTGTTATAAATATTTTTTTAAAACTTTTTCTTAAAGTTACACAAGTCGAATGTAAATTGTCTCCTAGATATTCACTCTGAGTCACGTGACAAGTGTTCTGCTCCTGTATTGTAATAATTCTTCCCTCTGCAAATAATTGAATATATTTGTAAAGGTGTCTTAAACAATTAAAAAAAGCAACCAATATCATTTATCCTTAATTTATGATTTATACCAATAACTGTATTCTTGAGTGATATTAAAGGATCTAGATGATTTCTTTGAAAATTAGCACTCAACATAACATTTAAATTGTATATTATCCCTTTGCCAAATTTAATAGAGCCATTTTCAATAGAAAGCCAAAAGTTATTCCATTTATTGCAAATTATATATTCTTTAATTACACTATCATTAATTGTTTGTTTAGATTCTTCTAAATAAATATAACTTTTTAAAGTATTTGATATAAATATTTCAAAAGTTCTGGTATTATTATTGTAGAATTGTACAAGAATACTACCACATTTATTCTGGTTGTTAGTTTTTCCGTATAAACTGAAACTTATTGATTTAAAACCATTTTTCAGGGATGGAGGAAGGGTATATGTAACAGCATGGACATTTTGAATAGTAAATTCTTTCCCCAGTGAATCTGTTTCAGAGATAGGATAAACAAGGATAAATCAATTAGGCTTAAATTCAAAAGATATCATTTCTTTACATAAATTTCCCTATGACTTGAGTATATACAAAATGGTTGGCATATACCTTTTATGAATACTTGTACACTGCTAAATCCAATATTCTGTGAGCTGGCAATTTCAACAACTTCAACATGTATTCCAGTTTCTATGTAACCATTGCTGTATTCAAAACATTGTTGATGAGTATTTTTTTCTAAATTAATGAATTTCTCTAAACCAGAAGTCCATTTGACCTTGACCTTAGTAATATATTTTATAGACCATAGCCTGTTGTAGAAAGAAAATATATTATATGTAAATTAAAACTATTTAAAATTGGTATTTTTTGTTTGCTTTACCTGTTCATAAAACAGTATCTAACTGGATTTCCATAAATCTTGAAAGATATGTTAATATACTGTCCAATACAATTATTCCCACTGCAATCAGCTGACCATTCTTGATTTGCTTCTTGTATGCCACTTATTAAATCTAACGCTAGTTGACATCTAAACAAATTGGTAACTTGAGATGTTGCACTACAATCAGCTCCATTTTCTAAAAGAGCAATATCAGTTAAATATTCCAGGTCACTAATATCTTCTGAAATGTCTGCAAAGAGAAAAAGGATAGAATAAACTGTGTCAAAGAATAGATATCTATTTTTAAATTGTCTACTTTCCTTCATAGGCATAAATCATTATTGAAGTAAAGCCAACATTGTAAGTAGAATATTGATTCGGTAGAAAAGATAGACTTTGTAAATTATATTTGTAGTTTAATCTTGGCAAAAAACATTCAATTCTCTCTTCTAAATCCGATTCTTCGGTGTAAGATTCTTGACCATTCAAAATAAATTCTATTGTTGGTGCTTTATGTTTTTTTTGTCCAAAAGGCGAAAATAGACAAATTTCTACAACGTCGTATTCTTTTTTAAATGTTATAGTTAATTTATTAGTAGGACAGTTTGGTCTGCAATTTGACAACCAAAATTCCATATTAACCCAGATTGGAGATAGGAGATTTTCACATATAAAATTGTGATTTTTATAAACTGGTTTATGGAAAGGAGTATAACAACTGGATCCCATTAATTTATCACCAATATTGATCAATTTTTTTTCTGTTTTTAATTTACATATTTTATCTATAGATTTCAATAGAAAAACAACAGTAACAATAACTAAAATAAACAAACCTGTCTTTACTGAAGGAATTGAAAATAAAAATAAGAAAAATAGGCAGAAAATTTCAAAGTACATTGTGTTCATGTTTGAAGTTGGAAACTCTTTACCAAGCAATGATTTTTGAGAGATTAAGAATATTTATATTTTACATTTAAATGTCACATTTAAATGATTAATTATTTGATGAGTTGACAGCAATAATTAATTGATAGGTAGATCGATACGGAACCGATTGAAAACGGCCATAAATAAAATATTTAAAGTTAAGATTTCAAGCTAGGAAATGGTAAGGAGGAATAAGTTAATTATTGATATATACTTAGGTGGGCCCCATCTAAGGCTTAGGGGCATTGAAAAAGGTTAGGCAAAAGGAAGGGCTAGGTTAGGGTTAAAGTAATTTCTGGATTAGTCTTTTCCGAATTGAAAGTTAAATTTCCTAATCTCCAACTTTCAATAATAGTTGATTTCTTTGACAAAACAAAACAAGTAGAATACAAATTGTCATGGAGATAATTTGTATAGTATTCATGATTGCATAATCCATTTTCTGTTATTCTTACTCTTTTTCCTTCTGTTTATTTTGTTTTTGTTAAGAAAAAAGAAAATGAAAAGAAGAGTAGAGATAAAAATATTTGAAATTTGTATTATCTACCTAGATCGTTGATTCGAAACAGATGATGATCACTTGTTTGAAAATTCCTAATAAAGATTTTATCAGTTGGGCCATCTGATACAATTGGAGCTATGATTCTGGTATTTCTATTATATATTAAATTTAATTAATTTTGGAATACCATATACCTTGAATGAAACATCAAGGTACTGCCCAACACATGCCTGACTTGAGCATTTAGAAGCCCATTCATTTTTAGAAGCAAAAGCTGAATTTATAAGATCCAATGCAAAGTGGCATAAATAGTGAGAAGAGGCTGATGACTTAGATGTACAGGTTGCTCCTTTTTGTACATTAGCTATGTTTGTATAGTAGTTACTACTTTCCACTTTGTCAGTTATGTCTGAAAATTTTAAGTTAAAAAGAAAGTGATATTTCTCTTTTTTAATCTTTCAATACAAAATACAAACCATCTTGTTAAGAAAAAATCATGATTGAAGAAAATCCAATATAAGAACTTGTTCTTTGAACTGGCATAAAAGTCATACTTTTAACATAAGTGCCATAGGTATATCTCACCAAAAAGCATTCTGAATCTTTGTTTATTGAATCGACATCAAATGCATATTGACGTTGAGTATCAGAAACATTAGTAAATATAACAGTTAATTCTTTAACTTTATTGTTTTCAGCTGCAAAAGTATATGATAAACAATATTCAACAATATCATAGACTTTTTCAAATGTTATATCAAGCTTGGGGGGATTGCTACAAAAACCTGAACAACCAGTCATATATGCTGCCATGTTGACCCAGTTTGGAGAAAACACATTTTCACAAGGATAATTGTATCCCAAACTATTAAGTTTTGTTGTGCTGGCGGAACAAGTTGAACTCCATGAAATATCAGCCACATTAATTAGTGTATTGCCTTAAAAAGAGAATATAAAATAAAGAAGAATACATAGAATGAAAGTTAGACTATTTAATTTTAGCTTTTAGATTAAAAATTACAAGTAAAAAGATAATCTTCTTGAATTTTGTCATTTTCTATTCATTCAGATTACGGCTTTACTCTTTTTTCTTCCTTTACTTCGAAACACAATTAATTTAACTCACAGACTCTAATCAATTTATAAATAGTAAGTAAAAAACTATGTAAAGTTCAAACTTTTAATATTTAATAAAATTTTCTAACCCAATCAATGATAACAAACAGAAATTTTAATGCATCATTCATAGAATTATATAGTAAGCCTTACTCTCTCTCTCTCTCTCTCTCTTTTATCTAGCTGGTTAAGCAAACAACTTTCATTAAATCATCATTTAATACTCTACAAAATAATCTCTGCAATTTATAAGAAACAGTAATTATCTCTCTTTATTTACATCTTTTATTATCATTACTTCAAAGTAGATAATAGAGTTCATTGGAAAAGATGAAAAGTTGAAAATGAAACTTTGCCCTCTATTTAAAAATTCTGTACTTGTTGATGTTTGACATTTGCTCCTTATTTAAAATATTTATTTTTTTGTAAAATTTAAGAAAAAGTCAGATCAATCTCTATTTCAATGCAATAATGAATAACTTACCTTATAGGGTGTATTGTTCTCAAGGATCAATTCAATTGTCAATAATTGAATTTTTCATTAGACTTTTGTTGAGCTTGAAAAATATCAAAGTTGAACAATAAATAATTATGTATTGTTTTTTGGAGGTGTAAACTTTTTTTGTTGATTGATTTTGTGAAGGCCAGGAACCTTAGTATTTCTTTTCATTGAGGAATTTAAAAAACAAGAAATTAATCAACAAAATACTGACAGTCTCATAATTCTCAAGTAACAAAAATATGAGAGACTGTTATATCAGATCCATTTGCTGAAGTAGATTTTTGCCTTGAAATTTTTATCCTGATTGCTTCAGGATACAGACCAACACTTTGTTTTATTACTTTGGTGTAAAACATTTGCTATTTATAGTCTGACAAACAATTGACATTTTTTTTCTCTCTTACCTGAATTTTTAATAACTGCTTTAAAAACATGACCATATTTATAAATTTTCTATGTCTTAAAATGTTGCTTTTGTTTTTGAGAACATTGAATTTTGTCAACTATCAACTCTTAAAAGAGTATATAAACCCTATGAAGTTATTGTAGATAGTTCAGTTTTCTAATTGTCAGCTGGTTGTTTAAACTGGGGGTCATGGAAAATGTCCAAGTTAATATGAAAAACATTTATAATTTTAATAAAAAGAATGTAAACAATATAAAAATAAAATTACACAATTGGAACAAATATACCAGTTTTCTTTTGCAAATAAATTTATTTCCTGTTTATTTAAATTGAATAGGCTTAAGGAAAAGATATTAAAACAGGCATAAAATTGGATTTTGTCAGTTTATTGTGAGTATAGTTTGTATTTATTTGTAAAATGTAATGTTATAATTTAAATAGAAAGTTAAGCAAAATTTTCATTTTGTGAACCTTTTCTAAAATAGCATTATGTCAAGATTTAGAATGGTGTCAAGCAGAAATTGTAAGAAGAATATTTATGGAAAAAATGAAAATGAAATGTTTACTATGCAAACATCAATTTCACATTAAATGCATTGAAGGTGAAACTATTTTAAAAAATTTCTGTTTTACTTTCTAAATGGTATTTTTTTTATTTCTTAAAATAGGGTTAGAAATAAAAAGTACAGAAGTTATTATAAAATTGAAGAAGTGCAGTTTCAAGAAAACTCAGAAACATGAACTAAGTGAAAGTATGCAAATGGTCATACCACTATCACAAAGTTCAAATCATGAGGAAAACATTAATGAAGCATATAATTCTCCAAATGAATCAGACAAATCAGTTTTCATTTGGATTTTTGCAAATGAAGTTGAAATTTCAACTGAAAATGATGAAATATTTGAATGTGTAATGAAATTCAGATATTCAAAATTCTTTAAAATGCAGGTGCTAAAGGGAAAAACATCTTAATACATAAAGGAGGCTGGTATGCACTGAAGTGTATTCATGGCAAAACAACATACTGGACTTGCGGTGTAAGAACAAAGAAGCAAAAATGTAAAGCTGGAATTACAGAATTTAATTTCTGCTATACATTGTCCAAAGTTGAGCACTTTCATAGCCCTGTTAAAGATATTGAAAATAAACTTCTTTTGAAAAAGAATGTTAGGTAGAAAAGAAAAGCAAATGCTCATCAAAACGGGAGAGGCATTGCAGAGGAAACTCTTACTGAGTTCAATAGAAATGATTCTTTACCATCAATAAAATCCTGCACTGAAGTTGTTAACTATCACAAAATAAAAAACAGACCAAAAGAACCTGCTGGTTTGAGATTTATTATGATGCAAATGTTCCAACTAAAAATTTTTTTGAACTTTTCCTTTATCCAATTTTCAATCCTATAATAGAAGAATTTGATTTATATTAATATTATAATTTTATTTTTTATAAAATGGTAATGTCACAAAATTTTCATTGTTTGAAACTGATCATAGCCAACCACATAAACTGCTTGACAAACTGAATCACAAAGGCAAATGTAATTACAATGAACAACTGAGAAAGTTGCCATTAAACTCAGCAGTTATTTGATAATCAATTGGTGTGTAGACACGAATCCCTGTATTTTCAAATTCTTGAGTATTCTTAATGCAAAACAGTTGTTGGCCAAAGATTTTGACTTCAAAGGTATTATTAACTTCATTTGATGTTGGCCATGGAAATCTGACTTTAAGTGATTGTTCTTGGTAAGTATGACAAGTGTCTTGTTGATTATCAAATAGAATATAAGCATGGTCAATGATTGCGTTTGCAATGGCTAATTCTTTCTGGTGAAACTCATAAGTGTTTTCAAATCCTCCATTCAATCCACCAATGAAACATGTTAGCCTATTATCTCTCGAACGTATTTGCAGAAATACATAAAGAGTGCTAGCTGGTGATTGACATTTGTGTTTCAAAAAACAGAGATTATTCATAGTAATTGCAGTTACTATACAATAAGTTTCTGTTGAACACCAGTTAGTACAAAGTGTGGGTGATTGATGATTTTCATGTGAAATGTCATTCCATGGACAATTGTGAGCTTCTATCAGCATAAAACCAGACCTTTCTATTCAGGAAACATCCATATCCCAACTCGTAACAATGGTAACAAAAAATAACTAAAAAATTTTAGGTTCATCCACACTTAATAATGTTGAATGAGAATATATAACTCTTTCTGAGTAGAATACAATTCATAGTTTTTTAGAATCTCAAAATTCAAATTTTCTATTAAAACATTCTTGCAATTTTGCATTCCATTTATATATATTCAAAAGGGTTAGGGTTAGGGTTAGGTTTAAATTAAAATCTTTATACTCGTTAGAGTCATTGTCAAGGTTTGTTCTACTGTAATGTTGTAGACATGATAAGGAATTTTCTGTCATATCCGTCTAAGGCTGCCAACAGGCAACTTCACCTACTACTGTCCATTTCATAGCTCTATAGATTGGTAATCGCTTGGTCGATTTTGCTCAAATTTTTTCCAGTGGTTCAGTTCAAGTAGATCGGAGTAGTTTAGAATTAGAAGGGTGATTTGTAATGGAATTGTGTGGGATAGAATATTTTGTTTCTCTCTTCTAAGACAAAAATGACAATAAATAGCGTTCAACAACAAAATTGAATTTTTTTTTTCCATATGACCTTCTTTATTAAAGGAGAAATACGAAACGTCTAGTCTATTCAATTTTAATTTGAAATTAAATAGTGAATTTGGAGAGAGAGAGAGAGAGAGAGAGAGAAGACGAAAAGAATTATTGTTTTTAGAGTATTTATTAATAAATGAAAAGCAATTAGATATTTTTCATTTCAGAAGAAAGGAAGCCGAATAAACGAGAAAAGATATGAATTCTAGAATTATTTGTATTGTTTCTTTAATATTTTCTATTGAAATGATGGCAATTATTTTCTGTGAATTCTGCCAAAAGGAAATTATAAAAAAGTAAAAATTTATTGTTTGTCTTGTTTATCTTTGTTTTTTATAAAATGTTAAATTAATTTGAATAAATTCCAGATTAAATGTTTCATTTGACAAGAAATCATTTTCAATAGAACGCCCCCATAGCCAGTTATTAGTAAAATTCCCAAATGATGAGCATAGTTATCACTTAACTTTTAATAAAAATCATTATGAATTCCAAAGAAATTTTCCCTTTGAAATATGCAAATCATTAGGTTTTGATGAGATTTCGGCAATTGCCTTTACTTGTCCTTCGCTAGAAAGTTTGTTGAATAATAATTTTGTTTATTTAAGCCTATATCTATTGAATATTGAAGCGTTACGATATGTTGAAATGGAATGTTCAATTCGTGGATGCCAATTGTAATTATTAATAAATACTATTTGATAATAATTATATATTGCCTTGTTTAGCATCAGTAAGACAGTTTGTCAAAAAGGAACAAAGTTTCTGATGAACGCCTATTGTTTAAAATGTAAAAAGACGACAGAAGCCTGTAATGAAGATATAAATTCATTCAGGTTGTTTTTATACGTTTCTTTGTTTCGTTGTAGATTACTACTCAGCAAGGGAAAATCAGGGAGAACACGTAAAAAATTTCCTCTATGTTCGATTCAAAAGCAAAAGTTTTCATTTTTGCTATAGATATCACTCTTCTCCACTTGGTTGTAAGTTGAATGATATACCATTGCGCAATGGTATCCCAAGTAATTGAGTTGAATTTTATCAACTTTTCAGTGCCTTACAATCCAAGAAATATCTATTGTTTTAACAACTGTAAAACAGTTGTTGTAGAATTTAAGCGGTCATTTCTAAGTAGATATTATTACGTAACGAAAAATTTAACGGATGTACCAATTGAAAAAGATACGCACATAGAAAATTTAATTAAACTTAAAGCACATACTAGACCATCCAGGATAAAAACTACATTAAAATCGTGTAGACATGTTTTCATCAATGATAGTAAGATATCTATTGAAGGGCAAAAATTAACTTTGGCTCATATTGGTATTAACAAATCCCGCTTATTCCAACATCAACAAATCCAAAATTTACGATATTTTCCAATATTAATTAAAAAAGGTTTGTAATCGTTGTTGGTCTGGTAGAAGAAGCACATTTCTATGCTTATTCGGGTTTCAGAGGAAACACAACTTTTGAGTGGCAAACAGAAAGAATTGTTTTTTAAAAAAATTTGCCATTATGACACATATCATTATTCAAAATTCGCCAATTGTTCAGCTAAACATGGCTTTAATTTTAATGGTTATATTCTACAAAGGTATATATCTTATCCATGAGAGAGAGAGAGGGGATTGTCATAAGCCTATATCTCACATATAGCCCCTTTGAACCCTATGATTACACAAGATTTTATCATAATTATCAAAATGGAGTTTTTGACTATGAAAAATATTTCTATTGCCTAGAGATATATTGTAAGGACAGAGTGATAACTAAAAACGGTTTGCATCATTTCTCCGAGAGAGAGAGAGAGACTTTCTTGTCTCTCAAACATCAATGATTAATTCAACTTTCATCAATGTTTTTCTAAAGATATAAAGATATTCGATTTCAATACAAACATGACTTTTACGAAGAATAATGCAAGCAGATATGAAACAATTACTGGACTTGTTGGTATAGGCACTGGAAAATATATGACATATTTCAACTTGCGACGTAAGGATAGTTTACAGGTGAAATATTTGAATGTTTGTCAAAATAAGAAGGCTAGAACTAAATAGAATGGTTTTTCTCAGTATTTGTGTAGATATTTTCAACATGAATACGGAAGAATCGAGGATCGAGTCGTTATGACAGATATTTCCTTTCCGAAAGGCTCAGATTGTTATGTTAAAAAGTGCAACAAGTTTTATGGAGCTTTCTTACGTAATCAATTCGAATCGGTTCTCTCGACGGTTGGGTAAATTTATAATATACCCTTATATGAAAGGGTCAGAGAAGTAGGCGTCTCCAGTCTTCTAAATTATAAATGACGCTTGCTTCCGCATGTCAATTCAGTCCATATAGACTCTAATGACTTTTATCCAACAGAGACAATAAGAATTTTTTGAAACGATTCTACAGATTATTTCATAATGAAGACACTGGCGGCTCGTATATTAGATGCTATCGAAACGATACATACGGTTAGCCTTCTTTCAATTGCTTTCCCTAGTTACTTCAACCGATGGTGTAGATTGCCCTGATGAAGGATATGTCTTCAAAAATAAGTGCTACGCATATCCCGAATACGTGATAAAGTTGTTTGAACATGGAGAGGAAATTGAAAGCCTTTGTAAAAGACACGGCATGGAAGCTTTCGTCCTAGAATCTTTGGAAGAATACTATTATTTCCTCGAACATCCTTACATAATTCCAAAAAATTGGGTAACCGTTTGACATATATTAACTTGTTACCGCTCCATAGATTACAATTGTTTTATCCCCAAAGGAAAAAGTATTGCCGTCTCCGTTAATGTTCAGTCGGTGTCGTCTGCTTCGATTGTTTGTCTATTAATTCAAAGCTGTTCAAAATGCTTTCAGAATTGGTTAGAAAAGTCGACATCTACGGAAGAACTATTCTGCTAAGTGGACTCGTCCCTTTAGAAGTTATTGCACCAACGATTCCTCTTACTTTTGTTAAAAGACAGTAAGCTATACTGTACCCCCTACCTTTACAATATGAACTCGGCCAATAATCATGTTGTTCCCAAGGAAAAATTGCTACAGATACATAAGAAGCTTCACAACGTCGTACCAAACCAACCAGGACTGCGGCTACATAGACGCCTTATACGGCTTTTATATTGCCGATTGCCAAAATGCGGAATACGCCACTAGGGCTTGTCATAAG